GACTAGTCTCAACATGCCCGTGCTGCCCCTGAAGGAGAAACAAGGCAGAGCGAGGAATAAAGGGAAGGAACACACACTGTTGAAACAATGGTGCCAGTGCAGAGACAGAGGACAGCTTTCAGACCCTCTGGTTGGCCCAGGGAAATGGATTCTGTGGAAAAGAGGGGCACTTCCAACTTCACTGCATGCTTTCCTTTTTAAAAGAAAGGCATGAGCCCCCAACACGCCCTTTAAAAAAATGCCTAAGTTAAATAAGAGTTGACATACTGAACCTGTAGTCATGAGCATACTTCAAATCCTTTAAGAAGGTCAAAAAGCCAGAACAAAGAATACTACTTCTTAATGTGTATAAAATTTGCAGCTGAGCTGACTCAGTATAATTTTAAGATGTTTTAAATAATTGTGAAGATTAATCATTGCCACATCACTGCATTCATGATGCATCAATTTATGTAACTAATTGAGAGTTCTTCATCAAAAACTAAACTTCTAATTACCATGAATACACAGACAAATGTAATCTGCTTTACCGAAATTTGCTTCACAGTATGATAAATAACAAAAGTTGACTATGCCTTTATAGCACAGTGAACTCAATCTTCTAGCAGTCAGGGAAAAACTTTTATGATACCACAGTTGGAAAGTAGCTGGTAGTAAGACCCAACTTCAAAGGACAGGATCTGGAATGTGCCCACTCACGTCTAGATACTTAGGAAGAAACTGCCAAAGATCATGTAGTCTATCTCACCTACAATGCAGAGACCAAGGCCAAAAGCTAGTGTCATTTACCAAGTTCACAAGAATAAAGTTCCCCTAGATGCTAGGAGATTAGAGGCAATAACCCACAGGCAGAGATAGGTGAGGTGTGGCTGTTAGGGTTAAGAGAAGTGGTAATTACAGAGACAAGGCAAAAACTTAGGGTTTACTGCAAAATCATATTGGATATGAAGACTAAAATATGAATCTGAGTTGATATGCAAATTCTCAATAAATGTGTTATCCTACACTTAAAAAAACAGAAGGCAAAGATGATATATGATCCATGATATATCTTAGGATGGTTTCCATCAAAAATGTTTAAGGTAAACCTAGAGTGCTCACGAAAAGCAATCAGCTCCGGGTAGCTAGAAGGACAGTTCCCGTGGAATGCTTCATGCCCCAAAATGCTAAATGAATATTCTATGCATGCCCGTGGGAACTTTCAAGCAGAGAATGAAGTTAGAGGTGTGGATACATTTCTTCGACAATAAAATTAATACTCTGGGATCTTTCTTTCTCTCTTTCTCTCCTTTCTCTTCCCTTCCCTTCCCCCCATCTCTTTCTTCCTTCCTTCCTTCCTTTGTGCTAGGGATTAATCCCAGTGCCTCAAGCATGCTAGGCATATGTTCTACCACTGAACTACACCCCAGCCCTAATACTTAGGTTTGTGAGGGCCTAACTAACTTGCTTACTGATGACAACTTATCTAAATGACTGAAATAAAAGTGATTGGCTACAAATAAGCCCTTGAGAACATACAGTACCTAAGCCCAGGGCCACATGTGAATCGACAGTATCTTATCAATTCCACACAGATAAGAATTTATTACTCTAGTGTAATGTAACAGGAATGCTGGCCTCATTGGTGCTCATCCTGAGACTGAAAGAGTCATATTTTTCTTTCAGTCCCTTGTAGCTCACCTTTAGCTCCTAGCAACATAACAAGGAAGATGATTCTGTGATATAGAGCCTCTGCTTTCAAGGTATTACATTTATTCTCTTTTTTGCAGTGGGTATTGAACCCAGGGCCCCACACATGCTAAGAATGCACTCTACCATTGTGTTATATCTCTGACACTTTTCCTTATCCTGCCTCTAGCTTCTCAGCTCCCATTCCCCAGAACATCCTTTCCCCCAGCACCTCTGCAAGTGATCCCTGAAGTGTCTTCCAAGGTGTTCTCAAACCTGTCCAGGCACACACACCTGGGAGAGCAGGCCTGGCTCTTCCCATGAGCTTGCAGAGGACAGGGTTCATTCTACACTTCACCCAACAGTATCCTCACTGTCACTTGGCCTTTGTGTTCTGTGCTATCATCTTAACTACTTTTACCTTTTCCAACTTCTTTTCTGTAAAGTCTCCTCAAACAGTATTTATAAGAGTTTTGGAACCAAGAAATCCTGGGTCAAATCCCAGCTCCAGCACTCAAATCGAGTTTTGGGTCTGGGAACAAATTATTTCACTTTCCTGAGCCTCAGTTCCTTCATACATAAAAGCAGTTGGCTGCGCAAAGGAAATAAGATGATGAATATACATTGCCTGGCACATAGTAGGTTCCCTGAAGATGTTACGCTCCTGCTCCCTGATGTTCCCCGCTTGTGCCTGCTTTCTCCCATGGCTATTCACAGGCAACAACCTCCCTCTCTGTCCCATATGCTTCCTGTTGGCAATATCTTCTACACCTGAATCAAGAAAAGTGTTTTAAAATCCTATATCGGGAAATGTGATTGCAGAGATACCCAACTGTGATTCTTGAAATAGAAATAACAAGACTGCAAATTAGAGCTCAAAGGAGGCTGGGTATGAGGAAGCATAGAGGCCCTGGACTCCCCAGCCTTCCTGTCCTCCTTCCCCAGTGGAAAGTGTCACCAGGATTAGCAAAAGAAAATCAAGGTCGCCCAGCTCCATTTTAATTTCAGATAAACACATAGTTCTCCAGCATACCACAAGCATTGTGTTGAGAAGGAAAATGCTTTTACAGTGAAGAAAGCAGCAAATGAAAGAAAGTGAGATCGGAACTGCCAGAGAGGGTCCCTGTGCCTGCCACCTGGTCCACCAGAGAGAGCCAGAGATTCTCTGGCAAGCAGGGAGCTCCGGGGGGAGTCCTAGCCAGGGCCATGCGGAGGCAAACTCATAGCTGTGCTCTCTCACCTTCATTAAACATCGGAGGTTACAGGAGAGATGCCTAGCTTTGAAGACTAACGTTGCCTAGTCTATACTAAATCTGCCTGCCTAAGGTTTGACGTGTGTGTGTGTGTGTGTGTGTGTGTGTGTGTGATATTTCTTATTTATTGATTTTATACATAATTTTGTTTAATAAACATTTATTTCATATAATCCTGTGAACATTGACTTACTATCTTTTATTTCTTGCTTTTGCTTGCTGGGGATGGAACCTAGAGCCTTGTATATGCTAGGCAAAGTGCTCTACCAGCCTTAAGAATATTGGAAGCGATAAGCACTTAAATATAAGTGACTTTTCTCTTGATTCACTTGGATTTGTATTTTCTGTCTTAAAGAAAGGGTGACAAAATGACAGGTGAAAACGTGCATATGGTACAGTGTAGGCTGGAACAGCATCTCAGTGGGAGTGCTGTGCTAACTTCTCAGCTGGACTCCTGACTTCTGTCTAGGCTCTTCCCAACCCAGAATCTTAGGCATGTCTTACTCAGAGTGAGGGGCCCTGAGGGCCTCAGCTCTCCTCTGGCCTCCCCTGGCTCCCTTTGGGGTAGCCAGCTGGCCACTGCACATAGCGTCCTATCCAGAAAGCACCCTGCTTGTTCTCTCCCCTCCTTCAGGGCTTTGTACTAAGGTCCACTTCTCCAAAGCCTTCTCTGGCCCCACTGTAACATCATATCCTCCATCCCCCTTTACTATGTTTTTCCCCCTGCCTCCAAGATCATTAACCTAATGTAAGTTTTATTTAGTTTCTTATTTGGTGCCTCCTCCACTAGAATTGGGAAGAAATCACATCATTTTGCTCAATGCAGCATCTTCTGCATCAAAAACAGCACATTGTATCCACTCAATAAAATACTTATTGAATATTGAATCGATATAAGGCAAAAATAATGAAGAGCAATCCTGAGGTAAAATGAATAAACATGAGCGTTTCTTCAATATAGCAAAGATGATAAACAGCTCCCTCCCCCAAAGCCCCTCAAATGCTCTCTTCCTCATAAAAAAAAGTATAGGCCTAGAGAGATGGCCTGTCCAGAGGACCATCCAGTTCCCAGCACTCACATTGGGCAGCTCACAACTGCTTGTAACTCCAGCTCTAGGGGATCCAATGCCTTCTTCTGGCCTCCGAAGGCACTGATCTCACTGGCAAACACATGTGCATGCATACATACACACAGACACACACACACACACACACCACAATTTTTTATAATCTTAGAAAAAAGAAAAGTACAAGGAACCAAGGGAAGCCTATGAGTAGGTCAGCACTTGCCTGGCATATGTGAGGCTCTGGGTTCAATCTCTAGGACTGGGATAACAAAACAAACAAACAAAAAACACTGCTGTTTTTTTTAAAGGGTGTGGTGGCACAGACCTGTATTTCCAGCACTCAGAAGGCCAAAGTAGCATGAATTCCAGGACTACCTGGGCTACACAAGGAGAAAAAAGAAAGAAAGAAAGAAAGAAAGAAAGAAAGAAAGAAAGAAAGAAAGAAAGAAAGAAAGAAAGAAAGAAAGAAAGAAAGAAAGAAAGAAAGAAAGAAAGAAAGAAAGAAAGAAAGAAAGAAAGAAAGAGAGAGAGAGAAAGAAAGAAAAAGAAAGAAAGAAGAAAACACTGGGGCTGGTGAGTTCAAACCACCTGCGCTTGATCCCTGGACCCACAAGTAAAAGGAAAGAATAGACCACAGAAAGTTGTCCTCTGACTTCCACATGTGCACCATAACACATCCACACCCACATGCACCAAAATTAATTTTTTTAAAAAATTTTAAAACAGAACACAATCTTTCTACTGTTGTCATTTTATCAAATCTTATCACTAAAGAAAGTACCTGTCTTTTCCTGAAATACTATGCAGTGATTCCCAGGTCTCCACAGTCAGACTAAGAATAGTCAATAAATTCTCGAACAGAGTATGCTCCTGTGACACTTCAGCATAGTGGACATCCAGTACACACTTGTTAGGCAAAGTTCACATCCATCAGTCTTTTAGCAGGTCCAACCAAATTGCCTTTAATCATAAAATGTGTTAAGACTCAAAACACAGAACAGGATTCTCTTACCGCTCCACCGAGTCCTGGATGAGTTGCTGCAGGTCCACCTCCTGCTTCCTTAGAGTCCCAAATGAGGAATGACTCTCCACCAGACCTTTCCCGCCAATGTTCAGCTTGATTTTCCCCAAAGCCGTCTCGATGGACCCACTCACATGGTTTTCAAACTTGCCCTCATATTTCACAAAGTCTGACTCCACGACCACTGAAAAGAGAAGAGCAGAGGAATGTGAAGGCATTAAGGCTGCCTCGGTGTCACAGGCCACCTAGCTTCCCAGCAGCCCCTTGGAACACTCACACACTGGATGCCAACACACACTGACTAGAAAGTGGGCAGCGGTGCTCTGTGTGAGTGAAATAAAACACTGTCAGCACCCCTGTGTGCTGACTGACAGCATCTCTGAACTGACCAGGGCCTAGGGGTGCTCAGCAGTCTGTTAGCCACTGTGATGGTTAATATTGTTAACTAGACAGGATCTAGAATCACCTAGGAGACAAACCTCTGGTCCTGCCTATAAGAGAGTTTCTAGATTGAGTTAATCCAGAGGAGAAGAACCACCCTAAGTATGAGCGGCACCCTAAGTATCTGTGGGCTGCTACCCTGGTCTGCTTAAACAGGAAAAGGCGAGCTGAGGAGCAGCATCCATCCCCTGCTTCTTGCCTGTGGAAGCACTGTGAACTGCTGCTTCAAGCTCCCTGCTATGTTGGACTGTACCCTCAAAGTGTGAGCAAAAATAAACGCTTCCTTAAGTTGCCCTTTTCAGTATTATGCCACTGCAAGAAGCAAAAGTAACTAATATAGCCACCACCTGGGGTGAAGACAGAAAGAGAACTAGTGGAGGAAGACGGATGATGCCTGTGCCTGCATGCAGGAAAAAGAGGCGGAAGGGCCAGTTTATGCTTAGGCAACATGATGATGATCTAGATATCTCACATGGGCCCAGTGACTAACCATGGACATGGGGGGTGGGGCTGTGAATCACCACAAAATGACTGACACTGGGTGTCCAGTGAATCCAAAAATATATAGTAATGTAATCTGATATATCTATTTCTGGCAGAATGCCACTTTCTTATGGGTTTTACTGAACTATGACCTTGAGGTTAGAGGTCAGAGCCTACATTTTCACCTATGCCAGCCTGCTTGTGTGTCTGCCTGTATGCCAGTCTGTGTCTGTGCCTATGCCCGCCTGTGTGCAGCCCTTGTGTGCCTGTGGGTGCCTGGGTGCCTGCCAGCATCTGTCTGCCTAGTGGCCTATAATGCTGGTAAAAAAAACTATGTCTTATCTGTCTATGATTCCTCAAATTTTCTTTAACCTCTTACCTCCCATCCTCCTCCTCCTCCCTTGGCCTCAGAGCTCCTCTCACCACCCTGCTGGTGAAAGCCCAGAGGGACACCTTATCATTTAGGAGCTCCTCCCAGACAGTCCTTGGGCATCCTGTCTTCCCACCGCCAGTCATAAAGAACAACTTCCTGGTCCTCCTTATCATTTCCATCTGACTAATCCCCTCATATCCACATTCTATTTTACCTCTAACTAGACATTCAATTCCTTACCATGTCTCCCTGATAAAGTCACCAGACATGCCCATCCTCCTTAATCCCCATCCCAGAGCCCTCAAGCCCACAAACTCCCCTCCTTCCTTCCTGGTTTTCCAGAGTCTAAGGAATACAGTCTCACCACCCAGTATTCCAGCTTCAATCAAGTCAGCTAGGAATTGCCTAGCTCCTCATCAGCAGTCCAATGCTCTACTACTGACCTATACCCCCTTGCTCTTCATCTGACCACATGCAGGGGATTGCTATCAGAGTGTCTTCAGGATCTACCCTTTGATCCAAACCCAAAGGATCAATAATTGGTGAGCTCTGTTGCGAACTGCCAGCATGGGTTCCTCTCTCTCTCTCTCTCTCTCTCTCTCTCTCTCTCTCTCTCTCTCCTCTTTCTTTCCTCCCTACCTTTTTCTCTTTCTCCTCTCTTGCTTGCTGGGTACCGAGCCCAGGGTCTCATACATAGTAGTCACATAGTCTCATGAGGTTACTTGGTCTACTGTTCCCATTTTTAATCTATCTGAACATAGCCACTAAAAAAATAGCATCAATTAGCACTCGGTGAAGATATATTAAGAGCCTTTTGGGAGTGTCACACTGCCTTTTCCATGCCCCTGACTCAAGGCTCTCCTGGGCTCCTGACTATAATCTTCAGAGGGGATTTAAAACCACATGGAGTTTGGAAGACTTCTTTCTATCCACACATGGTCTTTAACAACTTTATGTAGTCTCTCACTACAGTCAAGAAAATCCATCTCTCAACTGGGACTAAAAAATAATCATCATTTATTATCTTGACAATTTACAAAAGAGAGAATCCTTTCTAGCACAACTACCAAAAATGAGAAAACTGTAAAAATGTCCTCAATTCAAAGCCTTTCCTACCTAACATCTTGTGACATGGAAACCCTTTGGGAAATGCTTTAGACAGCAACATACAATGGGTGGTAAGAGCTTAAGATTTTATCTTCACTCTAAAAATTACTAACTGGGAGACCTTGGGTGAGAAGCTTGGATTTTTGCTTTTGTTTTGCAGCAGAGAATGGAACCCAGGGCCTCACACATGCTTAATAAGTACCCCACCTCAGAGCCATGGGAGAATCTGTAAACCTCAGATTTCAATGTGTAGTTTGGAGATAATTAGTGATACTCGCCTTATGGGTTCTGTTGCCAGTTATGTACACAAAGGATGAAATAGAAAACCTGGCATCCGACAACTGCTCCATCTATCCACTAGGTTTAGATCACAACATCCTTTTCTGATAAACATGACAGTCATAGATTCTAAAAAGTGCTACAAAGACAGAAATTCTGGCTGCTTCTTATCGTTATTCAGCTTATTCCACTTCTGGAAATTGTCCTTGCATTAGTCACATTTATGTCTCTGTGACCAAATTACCTGACATAGACAGTTTCAGATGGTTTCAACCCATCCTGGGAGAATAGCTTGGTTCATGGCAAAAGGAATTTGTGGCAGAGGCTGTGTACATCACAATGTACTAGGAAGCAGGGAATGCAGGGCAGGAACAAAAGGCCAGGTATAACCCTCAAAGCCCCTGCCTAGTGACCTGCTTCTGCCAGCTAGTCCCATTTCCTACAGGTTCACTGCCTCCCAAAACAGCACTACAACTGGGACCACGTATCAAACCATGAGACTACAGGGTGACATTTTCAGATGTAAAACATAACAGTCCCCAAAACTGGTCATGTAAGGGTATGTTGGGAGTATGTAATTTGTCTTTTGATTTTATAGAGGCTTACAGTTAAGATATTTACCTGAGTCTCAGAAGCAACTTTGGACTGTGGACTTTTGAATAGTATTGAGACTGATAATGACTATGGGGACTTTTAAAGTTGGACTAAATGCACTTTGCATTTTATATGGTCATGAGCCTATGGGGGCCAGGGAGTAGAATATGATGGTTTGAATGAAAATGTTCCCCATAGGCTCCAAATATTTGGACATTTTGTCCCCAGATGGTGGCATTGTTTTGGGAGGTCTTAGGAGGTGTGGCTGTCCTAGAGGAAGCATGTCACTTGGGGTGGGCTTAGAGAGTTGTTAAGCCTTGCTGGATCTCCAATTGCTCTCTTGTTTCCTGTGCCTGCTGGAAGATGCAGAGCTTAACTTCTGCTGCTCCTCCTCCAACCACTTCTGCCACCATGCCTCCTCACCAAGATGGGCTGTAATTCCCCTGGAACCCTAAGCTCAAATAAACTCTTCCTTCTATAAATTGCTTGGGTCAGTGTTTCTATCACAGCAACAGAAAAGTGACTAATACACATATTATCTTGTCAAGTTGAAAATCAATATTAGCCATCGTACCCCCTCTCCAACCCCAGATTTTTGTACTTGCTTGTAGAACCTCTTTTGAATGGTAAAATAACTAAATACAAATTGGAGCAAGAGAGAAAGATCATAAACTAGACTACGAACTCCCAGGCCTGACTCTAACAGGACTGGGAATCCAGCAGGAGTGCTGACCTCAAGTGATTATCACGTTCAGGAATTCCTTATCTGTGGTGACTGTGAGTGGTATTACCAGTCTAGTGCGAGTCTGCATGATCTTCAGGTATTTTGTCAGAGTAACAAGAAAAGAAGGTAACTGGAGGCGGTGTGTGTGTGTGATGGAATTCCTATCAATCCATTGTCTCATTCCTATCAATCCATTGCCTCCAGTGTGTAGGCTGAAGGGTGCACTGGCAGGAAGGCTCATCTCAAGGAAGTCTGGAGACTGGCTGTAAATGCAAATAAGAACCTCTTCCTCTATCTTCCTTTCTCTTTAGTAGAGATGCTATCACAAAATAACAAAACAGCTGAAAGAGGAATCAGACATCATTTCCTCCAATAATAAAGAACTGCTGATGCTGTCCCACATCATGTTAAGACAGCAACCACTACCACGTTTCTCAAGTTTCCAACCTCTGGACCAAATGCTGGGAATCCATACCAAAGCAACTGTTAAAGTAAGCTCAAAATCACAAACTGAATGCTCACTGTAGCCCTATTTATTAAAGCATGAACTTAGGCTAGTTAATTAAATTAGGGATTATGTATACAAAAGAGTGTTATATTCATTGAAAATAGAATTTAAAAATATCTAAACCAATAGAGAAAATTTTACATAATTTCAAATAAAAATAAATAAGCAGTATATTAAGATTAAAATTCTTGTTTTTTAATTAGATGCAGAGGCTGGGGAGATGGCTCAGTGAGTTAAGCGCTTGCTGTACAAACATTAGGACCTGAGTTCAGATCCCCAGAACCCACATTAAAAAAATCCAGGTGTGCCGGTGTGTTTGGCTTGGTATGCTCCAGGATCAGTGAGTGACCCAGTCTCAAAAAAATAGGGTGGCTCCTAGCCTGCACTACTATCCTCAGACCTCTTGGGTACAACCCAGCTACTCAATCCACTCCCTGGGAAATCATGGGGCTTCTTCCCTCCCCATCTGCTTTTGCATCCCTGCGTGGCGCAGCCATGGCAAGGGTCTCAGGTCAGTGCCACCCAAGTTCCTGAGGCCAAAAGCATTCTTAGAAGATTCCAGACCTAAGGAGAAAGCCTGAAAACTTCTGATCCACATTGGAGTTGGGCCACCGCGGAACTCCTGAAGACAAAATCAATCCGGCCTCGACAATATAAAATCAAAAGAGAGAACCA